TACACAATATTACCTGATAAATCAGCCAAAAGATTGAGAGATACATTTAGGAGCAACAGTGTAGTTTTGTGAAAACACAAATGCCTTATCCATGTGATTGAATGATTGTTGTCCACTGTCTTGCACCACTGGACAATAAACAATAAACAAAATAAACACCCAGAAGCTTTATACATATTTTGTCAATAATGCTGTTTTTTGAGCAATTAATCTAATAGAGAAGTAACAACAATGCAAAAATCAGTCTATTTAAGATAAATCTCAAGAGATGTGCAACTATCGTAATCACAGAAATGAATATTACATGAAGACTAGAATTTTACTTGCAGCCTCTTATCTTGGTGACAATTACAGCTGTGTTAAGCCTGGAAGTTTCATTTTAGCAGCTGGAACAAATACTAAAACTTTCAAAATTCTCAGACAGCCAACAAAAGAATTGTGTTCTGACTGAAATAAAATAAGAGCATTATGCCAATCACTTTTCAGTTTAATAGCAGATAATTATTGCACTAAAGAAACAGCAATCAAAATAAGACCTTACATTTCCTTTTTACATCCAACCATAAGGCATTTTGACCTTCAAAACATAAATCTGATTTTGTTATGATATATTAATGCAATGAAAGTTAAATCAATTTAGGAAGGTTTCCTTCTCCTCCCCTCGAGTAGTCTAAAGCATTTTTGAGCAGCTCTAGGGTGAAATGTGTGAGATGTCAGATACGAAAGCCAAATGTCATATCTCAGTGCAAGGCTTGACTTTGCGAACTGACTCTTGGACAGGATTTCTAAAATGTCTTCTTATAAACTAATTGTATTAATATATTAATTACTGAACCATAATCAGACAGCCACATTTTACTGGTTTTCAAAAAAACAAAAACTATCCAACAGAAAAACCTACTGTTCATAATATAGTCCTAAGAAACAGTGACTGGAGTAGTAAAGTGACTGGATTGTAACAAGCTCATATTGCTCAGGAAAAAATCCAAAGCAAACTTTTTCCCCAACTTCACTAAGCTTCCTAAAATTAAGAGTTGTTGGCTGTTCTTTCAGCAATATGATTGATGGGCTGAGCTGAAACATTTGGAAGTAAACTTCAAGTCAAATGGAATATGCTCTCTTGCCCTTGCTTACTTACTTGTGCTCCATAATCATAAAGAATGTTTCTCTCTCAATTAAGCTGATATTTGTCTTCGTAATTCTAGTGTAAAGAGAGAGGTTTGGAAGATTCATTCATATTCACCACTAAACCTTTGCAGCAGTTAACTGATGCTCATTTTGCAGTGCCTCATTGTCTCACCAAATGATATACAAATCACCAGGTTCTTTCTGCTATCTAAAGTAACAAATAATTTTTCTTGAAGTTCTTTGCATTTAATGTAAATAGACTGACAGGCCTAGAGACTGACATCTTGTATTTTCTTTCTGACAGGCAGAGCATGGTCTGTAAGTATGTGTTTCACTCAGAGAGTAACAAGTGTGCACTTCCCTGTCCAGAAAAGCTACTGATTAGTATAAATTGCTATGTTGCCTCGCGGAATGTGAATTTAACCCCAGGTTAAAAAAAAAAAAAAAAGTATTTCAAATACATCAACAAGCAGCTAAGTATTTATTTTCAGTAACTATCCACCTTGGACTAAAATCTAGACTTGAAAATTCAAAGCCTTTGCTTAGTCGTTCATTTAGATCAGGCAAATTATTTTCCATGTTTATTACAAATCTGCCCTTCACTCTGAAACTGTGCTGCTTTACCATCAACATAGCTACCACCTTTCTATAAATAACAAAGCCTGGTGATTATCACTTACTCTTTGTATGACTCATATTTAAAGAGCTCCCCAAGTGCTTCTCAGGTAGTCTCTTTGAATCATGAATCAGAAAGTGAAAAAAAAAAAATCAGCCTCTGAAATATCAGCATGCCAAGAGATTCTGGATGCCTAGAACATATTGTCTCCTATTTATAGTGTCGAGCTGTAGGGCAATTTGATAAAATGGAAGTCAATGGTCATGCAGAAGTTTCTTCACTTCAGTTCTTGTTAAATAAAAAAGAACTTGAGAATGGAAAAGCTCCATCGGTCTCCATGCCACACACACACAAACACACAATCCATTAATCATGACTTAATTCTGAGACACAACTTTATTGCCATGTATGATATAGAAACAGGAAATAACTAGACTGAAATTTTCCAGAGTCTTTGCCTAAAAGGCATCTGACCCCACTCTAACTTGAAGCTGGCTCTATGTCCATACATGCAAAGTTAATAGTGTCTGGCAGCATTACTCACACACTCAGTACCACATAAATATGAATCCCCTACTCCCAAAGCTCCACCTGGCTTAGACATTTCTACAATTGTTTCTAAGGGTTTGCTAAAAAAAAGACAGATATTCTCATAGAGCCATTTACATGCTTACATAAATAACCCTATGCTCCTGAAAAAAATGAGTTTTGTCACTTAATAGTTCAGCATGAAGTCAGCACAGGCCTACAGGCCTGGTGCTGCACGCCTGTAAATGCACTATCCTATGCCAGCTTCAAACCTGTTTGGATCTTCCTGCCCCAGATGTTACCTCCTACAGGTTTACTGGCTTTGGGACCGTTTCACAGGAAACACCAAACTCGCTTATTTCAGCTAAAAATTCAGAGTCCTAGGGAGAATGGCCTACAGGACTCAAGAAGCCCACCCTGGAACAAGCCCCTGTTTGCAACACCAGCAAACTTTGACAGACTTTCTACTACAGAGCAGGAGTTTCTACAGAGTATGCCCATAACCTCATGGAGTGCACCCACCTGCCACTGATTTTAGCCTACGGCCATACGGGGCACTCTTAATACAGATTCAGTTTCCAGATCTGCCTTGTGCGTTACTTCGTTTCTGGCCACAATAACCATATATCACTTCACCATATACCAATGTAAAATTTCATTAGGGTTATTTTCCCTGAAGAAAACAGAAGACAAGTGACATGTTCTAAACGTAATATTTCCCTTTCATATTATATAATATGTATTGTATTTTATTTCTCTTCATCGTCAGTGCTTTCAACTTCAATTTATCACTAGAGGCTATCTTTAAAAAAGTCAAGATTAGTAGAATCACAATCATAATTTAACTGTTACAGCAAGTGCCAATAGCTAGTAAAATAGTAAAAATAAATAAATAAATAAAAGCACCTCTCCTTCAGTGAGACTTCGATATACACTGACTTCTTCAACAGATCTGACTCACCTTAAATATGTATAGCTGCAACAGTATATAATTGTGATTACATGAACCCATCTATTCCTCTTTACATGAAAAAATGTGTTGTCAACAATTTGCTGTTCACAGACTAGTACAGTTAAAATTTCATACATTATTAAAGAATAGCTGATGTATCCTTTTATTTGTTTTCAGAGATACAGTGTTCATGAGATAATCATAGAGAGCACATTATATATTATCATTAAACACATTTTTGCCACAAAAAGTTGAGTGCACTGGTAGAAAATTCTATGTCACGTTATGTGAAAATATTTATCACCTTTAACCATAATTTCATAAAATCAATGTACACTTTATGTAACATTATGTCAGCAACTTCCTTCTTTATGCAAATATCTTTTGCTCTATACTTATGTATGTTTACAGTTAAGAACTCCATCAAATGCTTTCTTCTGAGTATACGTGTGCGTGCATTATACAGGAAAAGTATAGTTTCTCTCCTATAATAACTGTAATTGTCAACACCACTGGACCCAATAATGGTGAATTATAAGATCTTAGTTTTAGCAAATAATTGCCATTGTGTTTTTCTACCTAATGCTGAATGCAACATTAATTGTTTTTTACCTCCTAATGTTTACAGAACACTGACTGCATATTTCAAAGACATAATCCTTACCAACTATATACTGGCTTTTATTTCTGTGTCTTATATATAAATTAGGATTTTGTTGAATATCGGATATTGAGGAACAAATGACAGCAACTTTATTTAAATACATGCACAGTACCGTGCGCTACAGAATAATGAAATATTGTTTTTTATGGGTGAATGAATCAATAGAAAAATAGATTTAATAAGTCATTAACACTTTAAAGTCTAGATAAAAGTGTGAGAAAACTGATAAGTCATGCATTTCAAGCAAAGTTGTATCTTTTTCTGTTTTTTTTTGATGAAAACTCTGATAACTTAAGACGTGCAGAGATGACGAGTAGGTCATTCTAAACAAAGACCAGTGTTAAGACTGCACAAAAAGTTTTTATTGAGGCTGTATGTTTTTATGCAAAATTGAAAAAAGTTGCCATTTTTGGACTTCCTTTCAACATTAAACAGTGCTGTGCAAACCTCAGACAAATCCCTGCAGTATGATTTCTATGTTCTTAGGAAGTCTCTCAGAGGCCTAAGAAAGCAAAACCTGAACAACTGCCTCCCCAAATCTTTATACGAAATGCTTTGATCCTAGACATCAGACTATAATAGGGGACTAGGTAACAATTTATATCTTTTCCTTAAGAGACTAATTTAGAGGATGAGTAAATTATGGATAGTATAAATTTATAAATAATAATGACAATAAAATTAGATATCACTTTAATTTTTCAGTATGTGTCTCTGCCTGCCAACTTATGAAACGAATAAAAAATGAGCATTATATGCAATTAATTTAATGTTTTTCCTACGCCAGCATTTGTCTGGACATTGCCAAGGTAATCAAAAGAACTGTAAATTTTCAGAAGTGAGTCTACTTCAGTGAGCTTGATTAATTATGCATTAACCCATTTCTCTGAAGCATCCTTCACTAAATCTTTGGTGGGAAATGCTCTTTATTAGGCATGAGCTTTGGTTATTTGTGTGCATACACACTGTACTATCGGTCAATATGTAGAATGATTTGAAGTTTTCCATGTCAAAGAGATTTATTGCTTCTTACAATAACTTTAGTGTTTCAGCAAACAGTGCCAATGATGAATTTTGCAAACATTACTACCTTCATGCTTCGTAAGATCTCCTTAGTTCTGTAGCTTTTGCTCAAACTTGCTTTTGACTTCCAGTCTTGAAAAAGCCTTTACAAGAGTAAACAGTCACGTGAATACTGCACACATGGGAGTTCAGTTAAGTGTTTTCTGTAGGTGCAGTTACTCATATACATATGACAAATCAGAATAAGATATATGATTTTAATACTTAGCTGAAAAAAAAAATTCTCAGTGTAGAAAAAAAAAAGTGAAACCAGAAGTATAGATTAATGAGATCTGTAATAAACTTTACTCTGCAATAGGTCCAATCAGTTCCTGACCTGAAAATGCTTGTCCAAGAAATATTATTGAAACTATGGCATATGATCTTTGCAGAAGAAAAAATATATATAAATGGAATTATAGAGAGAAAATCAAATTACCCATGGCATTCTCTTCCCATATTCCATGGCGGAATTATCCCACAAATTAGTAAATGGTAATGCATGCAACAAAAAATATGCTGTATCACTTTATGTAAACATCTGCTTTCTTCATGCAAAATGCCTACAAAACTGTGACAATATATATATTTTTTCTAATAGCATAGTTTTACATTAGCTCAGTCACAGAAACTGTTAAACTAAAATCCTTGATTTTGCAAGTGGAAGATATTCTAAAACTCTTGAAAGATTTCCAGCATAAATTATGCCAAAGCCCAACACAGCTAATTGTTTTTCTAAAAACTAAACTACATAGGCTTATTCCTTGGTGTGGTTCCTTGTTCTTTTGATGATAGAAGAGAAAAGACCAGTTTTTGGAGGTGGTCCCATCAACATGGGTGCTTGGTTCTTGTGGGTTATTTTAATCTGGGGGAAGAAAGAAGAAAAATAGAGTTATCCCTAGAGCTAATTCAATTTCTATAAACATCCAAATAACAAACATCCAAAATACCTGAGCCATCTTTAAACCATCTTTAAATGTGAGTCCTGAACCATCTTCATTTAGCTGAAGATGAAAGGATCTGTGTTTTTTGTGAATGATACTACATACGCAATAAGCTAATTGCATGATCATTGTTATCACAAATACTTTAAATTATATTCAAAGTCAATAGTATGAATTATACATTATGAAATACATGCCAATATGTGATCCTAGTTTTGGGGTGTGAGATTCATTGCTAGCTGTTGAATAATTTACATATCTATAAGGTAAATTTAATTTAAAAGCTGGAAAGGACAAACATGCCGACAGACCAACTTGTTGCTTACTATTAAGGCATAAGCTGTATCTTTGCATGCTTTAATTATAAATCTAATTGTGCTGTACTTCTAACACAAGACACTGCTTGATTTCAAAATAACCATTATGAATGAAAGTCAAAAATTAACACACAAAAAAGGTCAAGAATTATGAACTAGCATTGTAATTTGTTAATTAATTGGCAATAGAATAGACTCAAATATTGAAAAGCCTTCTTAAAATACTTTACGAGACTGCTCTAAAGCCACCCATTTTGATTTCTTTGATATAAAACTACGAATCACCTTAAATGAGACAACCTTAAAGTAGATTATGTCTGCAATTTTCTCTAATTCAAGTCTAAATTAGAGAAGACATTTTATGAATGTATGCTATGCTCAAAGCTAATTGAAAGCAATTATCAAAGTGGCATTTTGTCTGTGACTTTAAGATACATTGTAAGATAATAAATGATTCTCATTATGTAATAAAAAGGTCACATCTTGCCTTTGGGCTAGTGATGCTAAGAGTTTTTCAAAAGCAATCCGAGACATTTTCTTTAGTGAACTACGACTAATACAAGAACCATCACTTATTAAATATCAGTTGTCACCTGCACAGTACCCACATCAGAGATGGGTATTTCCTTCAAGAAGAAACACCACCTCATTAAAAACTGGAAAAATATATCTCTTAAAGTGCATACCTGACATTTTCAAGTTAAAATGAATATGCTTCACTTGTCATTCACTAATAGTAATGAAACAAAAAATGTATGTCACGTGCAGAGGTTCATTAAAATATAGATCAGGATATTTCTTGGGGTGGAAATTTACTTAACAGTCTAGAGAGAGAGAAACATAAAAATCAGAGTAGGTTTGTTTAACTATATGATAGCTTTTATTCTCCAAATGTTAATTTTCATGGCACCTTAGTTCATTAGTCTCATATTTCAGATGTGACTTCTTTTTGTCAACATTCTTCGTTAATATCAAATTTAGTATATCATTTTTTGGCAACCTAAATTATATTCACAAAGAAAATAAGTCCTGCTTTCAAGGATTGGCGTAAACATATTTTCTCACAAGAAATTCTGCTTCAGGCATGACTTTTGAAGCCAAATCTGTAATTGGGATAAATTGGCATTACTCCATTGATGTCACTTTATACCAGCTGATGATCTGGTCCTGGAAATCCTCAAAGATTTCTCTAATTTCCTTCATAAGACATACTCCGGGGCTCAGAAATAGTGATGACATCAACCAGAACCTAAGGATCAATACATGAAGTAATGTGCAGCTGCTGTGAGTAAATTCTTTGAGAGACATGAGGGCTCAGCATATTGCAAGATTTGGCCATGATGAGGCAATAGGGATGTCCTCAAAATTTCCTCTTAGAGGTAATTTCATTGTAATTCTTCAAATGAATAAAAGAGCAGGGCACAAGGACGGCTTTAGGCATGGTGAAGTAATCCCGAGACCTCATACAGATTGCGTGTTGGATTGGGGCTGTTCAGTGCTGCTGAGGATGAATGCAATTACATATTGAGAAAATATTTATCATTTGTAATGTTCTTTTTTGGCTTGAGCCATCTGTTTCAGAGACCATGACCTCTTCAGTATGTTGTATCCTATCAGCTGAGATCAGCTAAGATGCCTGAACATGATTAAGCACTCGTGAACATGAGAAAGGAGTCCTATATACATTTCTCCGAGGCATATTTTTGACTGTTACAAACTGGCATGGTTCCACTAGTTTCAAGTACACATTATGTGCTGAAAATACAAAAATAAAATGTAAACTTAAAGTACATATTTTATCTATCCTTGGTAGCATAAGTTAGTGTTGCATTAGTTAGCAATGATAATCACTTATTTCTTTGATTTCCTGCTGGAAGAATATAGATTAAAAAACGATACTTATGTGATAAAAAGAGATCAGGATGCTTGTAATACACTTTGTATTTACTGGACCATAGAATTACTTTTTCTGAAAGACACTAATTTTGTCTTTCTCAAGATTCTCAGGTACTGTGTTTCTGACCTGGACTCTTGCATCTGCATCTCTTTTCATACTAGTGGCAATGTCAGAGTTGGTGATGTGAGTTTGGGGGAATAAGTGAAAAAGGAAAGTACACACTTTCAGACAGGAGGCAGTACTAAGAGTATCCAAAGGAAAAAATAGTCTTCTGGATCAAAAGAAGGGAAGTAGCACTGAGGACTTAAGAGTGCTGAACGGGGAACTGACATGGACAAAAAAAAAATTCAGTTGTGAGTAACCAAAATCTAGTTAAATTAAAAAGAAAAAATGGTATCTTATTGAGGCCACTTATAGCTTTGTGTAGATTCTACATTTGTTTAAACGAAGACTGATTTTTACCATTCACCTTCTCTGCCTTGTTCAGCAATCAATCTCATGTCTCTGCATTAGAAACATAATTTTAAAAGCTTTAAATGAGACCCATTATTATTATGATTTTGATTTTCCTTTTCCCTAGATTAATCTGTATACAAAACTGATTCAAAACAAAAGATATGTAGTGAAAAAAATTGCTCAGAAAAAAAAAAAAAACCAAACCTCAGCACAAAGCTCGCATATTTTTAGCAACTGACTATACCCTGGCAGAGTCATACAAAATACTATGTAGTTCTGTGAATTTTGGAGAATAGTTACTCAGTTTTATTGAAAATATGGAATAATACACAAAAATAAGGAGAGTGTTCTTAAACATAAATTAAGGGGAGAGTCTGAAGTGTGTCTGGAGGAAAAAATCTAACACTTTTATATGGCACATGTTTATATTTAAAAACATGAGAGATATAGAAATAACAAAATTACATTTAGAAGGAAAGTAAATAGCCAAAATAATTGCTAAGATGTCATGGATTTCTGTTGAAAGCCTGATGTACAACATTATATGTTAAACTCAAGCTGCTGAAGCCAATGGCAAAACTCCCATTCACTAACCGATGCCAAGATTTTATTCTATGAGTTCATGATCATGGAAATTTAAAGGACTGTTTTATCTAGTAAATAGATTTAGCAGAAAAATACTGCATTTGCAATTTTAAAATCACCTTTGCAGTATTAGAAAATGTGTCTGATGATATATTTGTGGGAAGAAAAACTAGATCCAATTAAAAAAGAGCATAATTCTTAAAAGTAGAGATGGTAATAGCTCCCTATTCAAAGAGAAGAAATTTTCTAATAAAGGAGAAGCCTGAGTTTGTGACAGTAAATATGTTTATAAAGGCATAAAATGGATATTTATTTGTTTCAGAAGCAGGACAGAATTTCAAACTGTGCTTTGAAGCCACATTAATACAATGCGTTCACCATATAAAATGCACTGAGCATTAATAATTTGAAAGAAATTACCACATCTTTTAGATCAATCAGTTTTCCTTTTATGTTCACTCTTCTACAATATGTGCTGGTTACATATATGTTTCTCACTTGACAGAATGCCTATAAGCTTTATATTATTAAAAAATACGGTGCTATAGGTACTAACAGGAATGCTAAATGACAACAGGAAACAAAACAGAGTTAATCAATTCTGTTTATAATATTTCAATCAAAGTTAGAGAAACTATATCATTTCTGAATTTTAAGAAGAGAAGTATGAATTGAAAAATAAAAAAAAGTTTAAGCTGGATCTGTATTTCAGGACATCTGTATTTGTTCCATGTTTCCAGCGGAGTTTGGCTGTTGGCAGGTTTGATGGTAGGAGGATTTCCCACAGTTTAGATGTCCATAAATTACTCCTATCCTTTATGGGAAATGCATGGATGTGACACCTCCGTATAACAGGAGAGCCAAATACTTCTACCTACCTCAAAGTGATCAAGTGCTGCACTGGACATCATGAAGGGAAGAAGAGATGTAGAATGTGGGCAGTGTTAAAATAAATAAATAAATAAATAACCTGTGACTTGTCTTATGAGGCATTTGGTCAAATCTCTCAGACTGGATCAGATCTAGACTGGAGGTTTTAAATATAGCATTATGCAACACATCTTTTAAATAAATTTCTTAACAATATTATTGTGCAAAGTGCAATCAAATCTAATCAGTTTGGCATTAATTAAGCTCTAATAATATACTCTAGTCTCTCTCCTAAGTAGTGTGATCCGTTTCCCCTTCACACAGGTAGATTGGAAAACATTACGGTGTCATCATAATTTTTAAACATACTGAGAAAATGACAGAGCTGCAAAATTAAAATAAATGATTAATGGCATTTTTTTCATGTTTTATACTAATAGGTATCACTGAGGTTTTAAATTAATAGAGCTGTCAAGCTCAGGGTTGTTACAGATCCAGTGCAGAACAAAAATGGAAATTATGTATTCCACAGACACCTAAAGATGACACTTTGGAATATTTTAAATTTTAATTAGTAGGTGCAATTGTTTTTTCCCCCTTTCCCGCTTAAACCACTGCAAATTAATTGGCAATTAGTCACAACTAATTCTTTTCTTAACAATCTGAACTGGAAAGAAAGGTACATTACACATTAACATATTTGTCTGGGGGTGCAGAAAGCACACATGCAGTAAATTGCTTTGTCAATTACAAAAACTACTGTTGTGAAATTAGGAAAAAATATGCATAGGTAAACAAAACTAATTAACGTGCAGTGTACCTCTGAGCACAAAAAATAATGCCCAGGTACAAAATAAATTGTTAGAACTTTGGAAAAGCACTCTGGCCTAGAGACAGAATTGTATGCATGTTGTTACTCAAAAGAAGGGAGAAAGCTACAATATTTAATTACAACATCTAAAACTTTTCCTACACATCCATTTATAGCTTAACTATGTAATAACAGCCTGATATGCTACCAACATCAGCCACTGTAGCTACCACTCAGTTCCTCTTCACCCTAAAGAAACAGATACAAAAGTTTCATTTTATACTTAAAAAAAGACAAAAAAACTCATTAAAAATTGTCATGGAAAAAGGATACTTTACAGATTGACAGGCTAGAAAACAGCTGCAGATTCCTCATGCCATCTATGGGGTGTAGAAGCCAATGGAGCTTCATAAAAGCAGATCTGTGATTTCCTTTTAGCTTTCTCGCACAGTTCTGCCATATTGTCAATATGACGGCAAGCTTTTCTGGTTTTAGCTCTTGTTTCTCTCTGGACTTACGAGACAAGCAGGTTCAGGAGGTGCTCTGTGCCTCGATTCAACACATTTTGAAGGACTAAAGAAAAGGCTAGAAAGAAATCATATTCTGAAATTTTATTTTTCAGTTTCAACATTAAATGTCTTACCAGAAATTTACCTTTCAGTAAGTAATTCTAAAAATACTGTTAGACAAAAGGTATACAATATGTTTTGCTTTGGATGTCTATGAAACTGTATTTCTGCAAACCATTAAAATGGTTGCAGATGGTTTTCCCTAGCTTCATTCCTTCACTCAGGCAATATTCTTGCATACTCTATGAACAGTTCTTCCTTCCATTTGTAATCTAATGATGTTAGCAGCTTGAGGCTCTTTCAGACGTGATGCCAACCAAGCAGGAACAGATGAAAGAACTGAAATCACAGCTATTTCTAATTAAGACAGCATATTCTTATATATTTTTCAAAATAATGCTAAGAATTTATGTACTTAAATTGAAAGATTTTTTTTCTTCTAAAAAAAAATGTAATGGATGAAGCTAGAAGTTAATCAAATTAACTTGAGAGACTCTGAAGTTTCATTGCTATTAATGACCTGCTTTGAGATCAGGTGAAACCATAGATATCTTCCATGTTGCTATATTTGTCTAGGAGAGCTCTGATAGAATTTCCTCCTCAGCTAATCAGACAAGATGTTTAACATAACATTAACATTATCATCTTTCCTTCTCCCAAAGACTCTTCTATAAAAAAAACAGTGAAAACAATACAATTTGACATTCAGGTTCTGCATCTTATTATACCAGAGCAGAGTGACTTTGTCAGACCCTGCAGCCTGCATCTATTCAACACACTGAAAATTCTGGATGGTTGGATGTCTAGAGCAGGGCAATTCACATTTTTAAGTGGGGAAAGAACAAGCAAGATGCACTTCTGCCTTTTTAGGGATGCTAGTAACATGTGCAATAGAAGATGGTAAAACATGGGTAATGAAGCACACTACTTTTTTAGCACTAAAGCAAATCACAGAAAAGAAAAATCACCACTCACACAGGTTTTGAGGCATCACTGCATTATCTATTGCATCCCACAATACTCTCCAGTATAGCCTGTCATGTTTGGAGGATGTGGTCTTTATATGTTTGAGAGGGACAGCTACCTGTATAACATTTTCCAGTCAGAATGGAGAAGTAGCGGAGCTGACCTTGTTAATTCCATTCTCACATCAACAGGAAATAAACTTGTGCTGATGTCATCCCATACATAACAGGGATTTGATACAGAACTTGTTTTCCTTAGTCTGCCTAATGGAATCAAGCCGGAGAATTTTGGTCTGGTCAAACCAGATTGAAAAATCACTTGCAAGATATGAATGATACGAATGAGAAACAGAAAAGAAACAGAAAAGGTCTTCTGAGTGTAACCACTTGAACCTAGGGACAGAACGGAATCAATACTTGTTGAAAGAATTAATTTATTTCTCACTCCAATATTTGTAATTTTTGTATCCCAACTGCTGAACTCCAGTGACACTGAAGGTATATGTCACTGAAGGTACACACACACCTTGTCTCAGAGAGATCTTACAAAACCAGCTGGGATTGAGAGACTGTAGACTTGAGTCCAAAATAGCCTCACTGGTGGCAAGACCCGAGCATCATCACACTTAGTTTGAGGATAAATGCTACAGCAGTAGCATAATGCACAGCTCCTATGTAGTGTCTTTAGGTTCCTTCACACCTTACAGAATCATTCACAAGAGCCAGTGCCCCAATACACCTAATGATACCTAAAGATTCTCAGTCTTGTCCCTCAGTGCAGTTTAGATATATGATTGACAAATATGCACACAGACGGCTGTCTACAGATCCAGATACAGGAGGGGCTTCCCTGTTCACTGGATCACCATACTAGAATAAACCATGGGTTATTTCAACAACTATACTGCTAGTAGAGGCTAACATTAGCCTATAATAATAAGCATTCTCTTCAACATCCTACATATAAATATGTGAGTCCAGAGATAGCAGGAGTCTCACCACATGATATCTGAACCACATCACAGTTCATGATGTATGAGTGCTAGCAACTCTATATAGGGGCCTCAGTTCTTTGTAAGAGATAGGGAAATATATTTCCTAAGAGAAGAGGGAAAAAAAAGGGAAAAAAAAAGAGGGAAAAAAGGAAAAACACACTTTCATGTGTTTCTTACAAAACATAAGTCACGGATCTCTATATCCAGTCATCAAGATTTCCTCCCTTTAAAAACTAGTAATTGCTCATTCACTTGTAGATATTTCCTGGAAAAAATGCTTTTGTCTGTCGAGAAGGCAAAAGCTCATGACTCTCATATTGTTCTTGTCATATTTTTTTTCTGAAATTTGAGCTCTTGCAAGTTCAAATAACTGGCTACATAGCTACACTTAAAAATGTGTTGTGATTTTATATTTTCTTCAGACTCTGGAATACACATCACTGAGAGACCATGCCTAACTCCCGTTCATCACCCATGTGACCAAATACACTTTGGCTGTCAAAAAAAGCCCTCTCCAAAGCACTCATATGTGTGTGCTTACTTTCTCACCTGAGAGAAATCTAACATCCACCTTTGGTATTATTGCAGGAGGATTTCCTAGTTACTCTGCAAAGAGCCTTAAGGAATAATTCTAGCATGGTTGGAATTGTAACCAGGAGAAGTCAGGTCAGAACATAGATGTTTTTTTCCTTCCTTATCTAAATTCATGGTGGAGCAATACTGTAAATGAATAGTTCTCGTATTTCCGTCTCAGATGTGTTTTGCTTTCACATAAGATGCATTTGCCTGGTTCTCACTGCAGGATGTGAGAGGCTTGCCATAGACAATTAGAATTCAACCTTTGCTTTGACCGTCTTTTTCTTTTTTTTCTTTCCTTCCTTTTTTTTTTTTTTTCCCTTTTTTTTTTTTTTTCCCTTTTTTTTTTTTTTTCTTCTTGGTGTAGCCTGGGATTTTACTTTGCAGGCAAAATTCAAGCAAGTAATCCAGTATCCTGGTATGGAGAATTACCACTTCTCCGGTGGAATGCCTTCCCACCTGTTACATTGTCCTATAGGCTGCTAGGCTACCATAATTCATCTATTTAAAATGATAGGTTTTCTGTAGTGAAATTTACTAAAATAGCACATTAAAACATGCTACTATGACTACATTCAACAATAATGAGCTTAAACTTCTTCAACACTGTCTTAAACTTCTCAGCCTCTCTAACTTACTAGAGAGGGACCATAACCTCCCTTTTTGAAGCTACATTTTGTTTCTTTGTCTAATAAGAGTTATTCAAAGAATTTGCTCTGAGCAACCTCCTCCCCAGTCGAGGAGGAATGGATTTCTCCTTCCTTTTTACTTGCACTCCTATCATACACGTGGATACTGAAACACCATCATACAAGATTATGAGTTGAAACACAGGAAGGTCCACCTCCATATGAGGAAGATTGTCTTTCCCTGTGAGGGTGACTGAGCCCTGGAACAGGCTGCTTGTGGAGTCTCCTTCTCTGGAGATCTTCTAAAACGGCCTGGATGCCACCCTGTGCCACATGCTCTAGGTGTCCCTGCTGAAGCAGGGCGGTTGGAGTAGGTGATCTGTAGAGGTCCCTTCCAACCTCAACCATGCTGTGATTCTGTGAGATTAATTTCTTTCCCTTCTCTTTTAAACTGTAGGGTTTTAATCATTATTTATCTTGTATGATTCAATCAGCACATTCAAGACTTCATCTTTAAACAGAATGGTCTTACTATGAGCTCTCTAAGGTAAGTGAAAAGTCTTCCTAAATTTTATAAGAGTTATTAGTCACACACATTTTAACACCATAACTAACATCAGGTCTTCCCCAGCAATCAATAGAGTATAAATGTGGTCCTTCATCACAAAAAAAATAGATAAGTCTAGGTAACAGGATGCTAAGACTGCGCCCTGTAAGCATTTTCCAAAGCTTTGAAATAAATGATATCATAATAATGCCTGTGTTTTTATTCCATCCAAATCTGTGGGAAAAACATCGTGATTTATTAAAAATGCAGTGGATATGAACCATATTAGAAGGCTGTGTGTAGATGTTACTTATATAAAATAAATGAATATTGATGGCAATGGTTTCCATTTTAATGAGAAATATTCCACTTCTATCACTTAAGAAGTGAAATTAAATAAATCAGCAAATATTTGTTTTGACTATTGTCATTTCAGTGCCATAAAAATAATTCTGAATTTGCCTTTTTGTTCAATGCTGTTCTCAGGGATAAGAGTATACTTACTGTGCAAGGCGTCTGCATCCAGGGTTCCCCATCTATCTGCATAGGCAGAGACTTGCTGGTCCTAAAGAAATATATTTCATTGTGTAAGTAGAAGCAACAAGACAAAATTGATAAATTGACATATTAAAGAGACATATATATGATGGCATAGGCACATATAATCCTGATTTACCCTAAACTTCTGTATAATCTCTGGTTTCATGAAAGATGCTTATAAAATTAATCCTTTTAGTAGACTGCATAAAAAAGCCTTAGCTTCATTTTTAAAAAAACAGTGAACACTCACACATCTTGCTACTAATATGCTACTCTCTCATGGGAGAATAGCCTGTAATTTGTGAAATAAACAGTGAATTAAGCAAAAAAACACATCAGGCATAAGCTGTACTATCTGAAAAGACAAAGAAATCTCTGCTATTTGTGGTACCTTTGACTGCTGTAAAGGAAATAAGCAATATACCTTAGCTCTACCACCAATATTTACCAGAACTTCCAAAGATGTTTCCAGGTTTTTGTTTAACCCTGGGTTAGATACAGCACTCACATAACATGTGATAATTTTACTCTATTCAGAGGCTTTAACTTACCATGTTAAAAACTCAAAGTTTTAGTAGAGGGACACTGATTTTAACATAGAGCTTCAGCCAATGTTCCATGTATACTTTTGGACAACACATTAAGAAAAGTATAGACAAATTAGATACAAAATCAAAGGGATGATCTTTTGGGGTTTCTTACAACCCTGTATATCTGTGTTACAATGGTTTCTGTGCAGGTCTGTTGGAAATAATATGACTAAATAGCAGGAGAAAAACAAGAATCAGTTGTGTGCTCATGAAGGTCAGAAGATATTCTCGCTTAGACACTGACAGTCTATGGGCTTAATCACTGCCATCTATGGGCAATAATAGATGAAGTGAAGAATAGGCAATGAACCTTCACTTCGTATCTTGAGAAGGGTGTACTGGCAGTCCTGCAACATGACAGAATACTCCGAAGTCAACACCACCCCATTCTTCAAGAGATTCTCAAAAGAACATCATACTCTTCAGAACATCCTACTTATTTTCTTCAAGTTTTGATTAATGCTTTTGCTTAATGATTTTATTCCTAATTTTAGGCTGCTTATATTTTATAGCTTATCATTCTATTAAAATTTTGAACTTATATTTAGCTTTTAACAATAAGATTTCCATGCAAAACATTTCAGGATCACAGAAGGAAGGTCTGAATAATGATGTAAATTCCTTCCTCATGTCTGCTAGTCCTGAAAAATCCTTAATGTCTCTCTTTCTTTCCCTGTACTTATCCAAAAGTTAGATTTTTTTTTAATTATTATTATTATTACTATTTATTTATTTATTTATTTATTTCTGCTTACGAGCTAACCTAGATTTCCAAACTGTAAATGTTCTGGTCGCTTAGTAAATGGTAAAATACAAGTAAATTAGTGTGATACATTGTTCACAGCTTACACATACTAACACTTTTATTAACAGTGATTTGTAAGTTCAGTAAATAACAAAGAAATTAAAACCAGAGAACTTTGACTTCCAAGAATCAAAAATGTGCTTTACAAATACTAATTACGTGCTACTATTCCCTGGTGAGGATTGCATTAGAAATTGTTTAAAATATGTTAAAGTGTTGTTAACTGACTTCTTTTGCTCAAAATTGCCCAGAGTCTATGTCAATAATAAACCCCAGGATATTCATGCCGTACTCTTTCTGCCCCACCTGCTTGATGATATTTCCTCATAAGATGAAATGAGAGTTGAATACCCATAAAGTAAATGTAAACTCCTTCTTTCTAGATTTTTGATGCATTTAAAGAAAGGAAAATGTATGGGCATAGAATAGAAATGGAAAAAATATTTCTTTGACAAATTTTCCTTGAACATATTGTAAATTACTCTTATTTAATATATAACAATAATACTTTCATAAGCAACAAATAGAGTAATCATGATTGCTAAACAATGAGAGAAATTGAAATAGTAACATCTAATACATTCCAGTTTTACTGCAGTAGTATAGAGCAGATCAGAGTGGCCAGTACCTGATGACAACAGATGAGCACTGGGCAAGTCGCCTTCCAGCACTTTTCAGGCCTGTGTATATCTGACCCATCTCCATAGCTCCTTCCAGACCAACAACTTCCACAAGTTGGTCACTTAGGTCTGAAAAAGTTGAAAATTGTTGCATTAGAAAAAATATTTTGTCTAGAAATGATTTTGACAGTGGTCATTCAAACCAGTAAAAATTTTTTTTCAGAAGACCAGTTGATAAAGGAAAAAAAAAAGGATGAGGTGAACAGAACTGGCAAAAGTGATAAAGGCGATGATTCTTAAGCAGTTTTAAGGCTGGGCACATGTGAGCCTATCATCACACTTTTCAAAAATATCCTGACCAAAATGATTCTACAATGCAACGATATTCCTTGTGGTTAATTTTAATTCATACAGAAGTAATAATTTTTGTATAGGAGAAAACAGAAAGACTCTCATTTGTTTACCTGAAGCACACTGAGTGAGAAGTCTGCATTTTAGAAATTTATGGTCTGTGTTGTTTCGAGAGACATTTAAGTCTCTTGTAGAGACTCATGTAGAGTCCATATCCTAGACACTATTGGAATCTCTTCTATACAATTCCTTTAAAAACAGTGTGTACAACTCGAATGCAGCCTTTATGTGTGCATGCATTATGAGAGCCTTTAATTACAGGATTATGTACTATTTTTTGCTCAACATTTTTTCCTCAATAAATGCATAGATTCAATGCAAAGATAAAACCGCAGAATTAAATTTTTATCAACAGCTATTCATCTAGGTCTTCTGAACTTTGGAGTGGTTGTTTGCACCCACTTACATATTTTTGTTTTACATTGCTGTTCAATTACATAGCATTTTGGCATTAAACTTTGAAAAATATTTTAAAAACATAATGCTCCTAGCAAAATAAATACTAGTTTGTTTGATTTCAAGGAGAAAGGACAAATTCTCTCTAGAATTTTAGATACAGAGATAAAAAGAGAAACCTGAACAGTCATACAGTAGTCTGCTTTGAAACTGTTTCATTACCGACAAAGGTAATGAAATCTTAATCAGAACCAAGAAGAGGATATTTTGTAAGAAAAGGTTCAACATTCTCCAGTTTAAGTTAAGGCACGAAAAAGCAGATGGACAAGGCAAAGAAAAAACGTTTAGTGTACTTTCTGTGTGGTTTATATTAATGTTTCCAAAAGATATACTATTAGTTGAAGCAGAGATGAGTTAAAATGATAGTCTATCATCACACTGAAGAACGAAAGAAAAAGAGCACACTACTTTTTGTATATTTTAAACCCTTCAACCTTTAATGAAGGTAGAATTTCATGCTAATTATCATAACTTTGAGGCAAGTCCAAAGTTTCAAAAGGAGTCTTTTCTGTTCACTACTTTGGGCTTTGAATGAAAGTAATTATTATGGTCTGGATTATACTTCTTCCAACCAGAAATACTTATAATATCCAATACCATCATCTTTACTCTTAGGTTTTCTTAATATTCCTCACTATTTTAATTTTCTTAACAGGGTGGAATCATTTTCATATGATGCAAATGAAACAGCAATAAGCCAAATTCATATCACAAAAAATAAGATGGACATTAAATTAAAATATATACTATGATGAATTTTAATTATGCTTTTTTATAGCTAGCATGACTATTACACATGTATACCTTATATTTTATGTTTGGCTTTCTGCTGAATTGTTTGTTTAAAGGATGACATTCTTTTAAAATATTTTCCTTTAAGTTATTCATATCAATTCAATCTTGACTCAGATTTAAACATCAGATTTTCCTGATATCCACAGAGATTTAATTTGAAGTCCTAATCATTTGCAAAAGCTTTTAAATTATAAAAGCACACAGAATTTTATAGATGTACTAGATCTTTAAAATGTTTCTAGCCAAGGAAATCATCAAATTTCTATTCATTGGGTTATTAGAAAATTATTTTTTTTAAGTGGGAGAATAATTAAGAACAGATTTTTTATTACTGACAGCTCAGGCAACATATGCAAGATTCGGAATACTGGCATTTGCAAAGATATAAATTTGATGCATCATTTTTCAATAGCTGTGAGATTAGTGCCAGTGACAGCAGTTAACTAAGGGCCAAATCCTGACCTTTGATCCACATCACATACCTCCAAAAATGTGGTATATTAAACACTGGAATATGTAACTGAACAATACACTTATATAACAAAAAAGTGAAGCCTTTTAAAAAACTTCACATTTGCAATGTCTCATTTCCAAAGTCGGGTGATTTTAGGACAAAATAAGTATTTTTAGCAAAATTAAATTAGACATAATCTTCCTACAGAATCAGTTAGAACTAAATCAAATGTAACTTGCAATTGACTCTGAAGACTTAAGTTAGGATTAGCTTTTGCTCCTGCTCTTGCTAATATATTTGACCTCCATGTGTCTACAGAGCCAAAATACATTTCAACATATGCTTCAACTATATTGACTTTGATAAGAACTTAGAGTGAGCAAAAGTGGAAGAATGTAGATTTTGGTGCAATTTTTCAAAGATGTTACATGGGCATGGACACTCTAGTTCAATATAAAGGGTCAAGGCATCAATGAATCTATTGTTCATAAAAGGTCCTTACCAGAGACTCTGGAAGAAACTAAGCACTCTTAAAAGAGGTCAGTTCCTCTTTTAAATTAAAAGATACAAAAAAGAAAGTCACTTTTCACTCTGGTGGAAGGTTATCACTAATTCCTCAGAAGGATCCTTGCTGGGCTCTGTACTGCTCAACACATTCTCTTAAATAACTTTGAAATAGGAGTAGATAGTGAGTTGCTGAGGATTCAGGAAAGAAAAGACAAAAGCCTATTAAAAAAGTTGTAAAGGGATTTCACAATACTGAGTAATGAGGCAAGAAAAAGGCAAGAATCCAATAAATGTAACCCAAATCCAGTGAAGGGAAACAGAAGTACACTGTTCACTCTTTCTTTCTTTCTCTTCATATATAAATGTGTGTGTATATGTATATACATTATATATGTGTGTATATTATATACATTACGATAGGCTTTAAGTTAATACTATCATGCAGAAATTAGTTGTGGAGTTTTTCTAGCTAATTCTATGAAAATATAAGCTTAATGCTCAATGGTGACCCAAATTCAAATATTACAACCAGTAACCCAATGCAACACAATATCCGCAGCTCTGGTCAACTCATCCATAGAAAGATATAAAATAATCAGAAATTACAAAGCAGGAAATAATGTGATATGTAGATAAATCATGCAACCCATCATGGCACAAAGATCACAGAACATTTCTGATACCGAAATGTTAAGATGAGTTAAAAAATAATTAGGCAAACTCACAAAACTTTTGATGCCATACTGAACTTTAGAAATTCCCCAAATCACAAATTGACACACATGGGAGGGCATCTTAGTGGAAGCATCACTATAATCTTGCCCTCTTATACTTTGTTTGCAATGATACAGCATTGGCTGGTGTTAGAGGTCAGATACTGAGTTACATGAACTTGTGGGTTGACCTGGTGGGACTGTTATGGTTACCTTTTTACATATCTTATATATTTTTCTATTCAGAATAATGAATGTTGCTTTTCACTAAACATCATGTGTTGCTTAGAACAAGTTTTAACATGGATTTTCCTAACTGTGTTTGGGATATAATTCAGGAAATAATCATATTTACTTTACAGGAAAAACATCATATTTGCTAAGAGTGAGGAATTGCAGCTAACAGATACTGAGCAGCTCTTCAATCCAACCGTATCATTTAGTAACCTAAATGAAAGCTGAAGTCTCATAGGTGAAGAGTATCTTGGTATCAGTGTATGAGCAAAGTGATTTTTGACTGGTGCTTTTGGGTCCTTGGGTCAGCTTGTTCTACTGTGGGCCCAGTGAAAAGAGCTGAAGGTTCTAACTTGTTTTCCATGCGAGTGAGCCGTTAGAGTGTGTGGGAATGTTTTCACAGCACCGTGCCTCTCCTGCCCTCTTCCATAAACCCAACTACTTCACGTCTCCTCATATTAGTCCCATCAGTACACAGGGCCAGCTCTCACGGGGCAGGCGGATGTCAGCAGCTGGGGACTAGCGTGCAGAGGGGCATCTGACCCCTTCTACTCATTCCCCATGGGTGGATAAAGTCTCCAGGGAGATGCCTGCCCATTTCCTCCCATTTGGCAGCAAGAAACGAAATCCAGGCAGAAAGGAGCACAAGTGGCAGATGAAACACCGCACATGAACACAAGCCCTTTACAGCGCTTTTCCTAGTCAGACTTGGAGACCTTCAAATTTCTCAGTGAGGAGTCTACATTATCCATTAGCTTGGCATCAGCTAAACACTTCAATATTCAAAGCAAATTCACAAGAGAGTAACATGTTTGGAATTCATCTCTGAAGATAAGCAAGGAAAAAAACGAGGTAGTAGGTGGGATGAAGCACAGTGTGATTAGAAATACTGATTTACATAGAGAGTTTTCCATCTATAATGGAACTGTTTTTTATATTCAATTTATCCTTGTAATATATAAATATTGCTGTCCTGGCAAGAGATTGAATGACTCTGTTATAATTTGGGGTTACTGCACTCACTCAGGCACATTTGCATAAAAACCACTGTTGGTCAGTGGTAAATCTGCCTCTGGCAGCAGTTTGTCTTCAGGGAGAAGGGGCTCCATGCCTTACTAAATGCAATTGCACTCTAGTAATCATCATGCAGGAAGTTTTTGAGTTCCATTTAAAAAAAAAGGAATAAGAATTTGAAATCTGGTATGATATCAGGGGATCCTTGAAAACCTTTTGAATCCAGTGCTCTGCAGCACACGAAAGCTCCAACATCTTTGTGGAAGGAAGAAAAGGAGCTTTGCCTTATGCAGGAACATGGGGCACTTTCATATGCAGAGATTGGAACGGCTGTTGTGTGAAATGCTAAGGACTTATTTAATGTCACAGTGGTGGCCCGATTTCAAATGAACATCTCTTTTCTAGATTCCTGGGTACAAAAAATCAGTATATCGAGATTAATCCATACATCCTTTTTTTTTTGTTTTTTTTTTGTTTTTTTTTTGTTTTCTTCTGTTTTTGTTTGTTTATTTGTTTGGTCGGTTTTCTGTTTTTTTGGAGAAGCT